ATTCCATGCCAAATAGTTTTTGGTTTATTAAAGTACGTTTTCATACTCAACTCTGTTTTCTACAGCTTATTGGAACAATTTCTGGTTCAAAGCTTTTATTTTACTGAATTATTCTATAGTTTAAGCACCAACCCATTCATCTGTTTCGTTTTTTTGGTCTGCTGCAAATTGAGCATCGATGTTTGATTACTTTAAATCATTAAGCAATCCAAAGACTGTATCAATGGCATCACTGGCCTTTGTTCCTGTCTAAAGCAAAGCCAAGATTTAATCTTTTGTGCTTGTGGCATTTGAGACCACAGCCAATGCAAGAATGATAGCAATGATTCCTTTCATTTATTTATTAACTAAAAAACGACACATCTCAAAAACGATTTAATTTCATATTATTTTATATCTCTCATCTCTAAATTTATTAGCTTAAACTTTCATATCCCTTTCATAAACAACTGGATCTTGATAAGTGCTATTTGCAGGATCATTGAAAGTGGGACTAATATATATATTATTCTATTCAATACTGATGAATCACTTAATTGATTCCTGAAAAGACATCTATTAAACTAGTACTAGAGATCCAAGTTTCTTTGTTTGTTATATACAAACATAGTTTGCCCATAGGAAATATATTCACATGTTGAAAATTATTGCGAAAGTTGACAGTTGGAGCCTCAACTGGGAAACCATTTAAACTAACATCTGCAATAATATAAGCATCTAAATTGGATTTTATATTCTACTCTCATGCACACTGCCTTTTTCACCTTTGATTTAAACAATGTAGTTATATCTATCAACTTTTTGATACTTAACATTAGGAGGGAGATCATCTGAATTTTCTTCAAGCATTTATTCTTCATATTCCATCCTCTTATCACTAAACTTAAACATAATTAATAATATCTTTAATTAATGCTCACCAGATCAATAAACACTTTAAGGTTGGGCTTGAAGAATCTCTATCAACTCAACCACATTAAAAATTTCCACAATGCTACAGTGGCTCATAAAGCTTAAGTTATGAATGATGAATCCTCTTATGTTGTGAAAACTGATCGAATTTACAAACCAACTTATACAATAGAGTTTGATAGAATTGGAGAAGTGTTACTGTAACTAAGTTAGTAATAATTAGTTACTCTTGTGATCCTCATAAGCATCTTACTATTTTCCTTAAATATCCATATGTACTTTATGAGACAGCCATTCCATTGTCCATTTATCTTTGGTTTAAAAACCCATTAGACATTGCATGGTATTGGAATAATCTTTTTATTTATGCGCCTTCATTTTTGTGGATTCCAAGAATGTGGTATTGAATATTTCCATTTTTCATAGGTATTGGAGATCATTGTAATATAAAATACAAAGACTCTCTTTACTTAGAGGTGGTAAAGTATTAAAGATTGAAACTAATACTCTTGCTAATGACAAAAACACTTATTGGGTAGAAACCTATTAATTCCATCCATTAACATCTGATTTAACATAATTTGATGATCGTGATAATGCAGACTTTTTAACAGAAGAGGGATAATTAAAGTATGAATTAGCATGTCAACTTGATCATATCTAAGAATTAGGTACAACAGTTTAAGATGAAGTTATTTATTTCATGAAAGTATTTCAATAATAAATTTCAAATAGGAAGGAATAGTTCATCATCCTGAATTATTTGAAGCAGCAACAAAAGGTTATGTGATTGACACATCTAATTTTGTGATTAATACTGCCCATAATATCAGAGCATTCGAAGGTCATCACAATCAATGAAATAACCATTACATTATAAAATCATTCAAGAATATTACATACTTAACATGTACAATAATTCAACTAAACTACCAGTTACCTGTACTGTCTAATTATTCTAAATCTATTCCATCTCCATATCCTATATAACCTAAATCTGTAAATGATCTGTCAATCACTCTATGATCTACATATTTCCCTTCTTTTCTAATCACTTTGTCTTACTAAGGAGTTTATGAGTTTGATCCATCATAAGATCTAGTAGATGCCTAATCTATAAATTATTCTATATACTCTTCTATAATTTTATAATAATGTTGGTTGAATTCCATCAATGTTCTAATCAAATTATTCCATATCTTCATTTGCTTTCTTTTATTTATTGTACTTCTTGAATTCTTCTTCATTCATCTTATGTCCAATCTATAAGTCAGTCTTTGAGTTTAGCCAACCTGAATTAGGAATATGATTTCTGAAATTCTAAAATTGAAATATCTAATCTATATATTTCTTTAATTAAGCTTTCCTCTGACATTCATCCTAATTAACAGAACACAATTCTCTTTTCAACACCTCCTATGCAGTTGTTCTATATTCTGGTAATTAATGTAACATTGGCATCATAAATGAAGCAAATGATAAGGCTTCTTCTTATTTAAATCTATATTTCTCTGCTAACACATTAAATAAACTCCAAAAATGTAATTATGGAATTCTTTTCATTTACCCATTGTTTGTAAAATACCTCTAAAATAATATTACTAAATTCTATTTACCTTAGCTTTTGCTCCTCTAGTACTATATTCAAAAGGAAATTTTCCTAACAATTCCTAAATCTAAGCTAAATGATCTTCATTTTTTGAAAAATTTGGTCCTTATCTAGGTTCAAATAAATAATCTCCTGTTAACATTTCAAATATCATGCAAGCAAAACTCCAAATATCTGCAGTAGGATTATATTTGATTCCTAACAAAACTTCAGGGGATCGATATTATCTTGTTTAAATTAAAGTTGAGAAATGATGATGAATCCAACAAGCATTACCAAGATCAGCAATTTTCAAACGAAAATTATCTGGCAATTTCTTTTGTTATGTAAATGAAATTCTAATATTTAATTAGTTCTATACTTTTTTTATTGTTAAAATAATTCTTTTATTGATTTAGGCTTGTCTAGTTAGATTTATTCTTTTTCTTCATTCATAAATTCATTAGATTATTATTATTATTATAATTACTATTATTATTTCTTTTTTCTTAATAGCTTTCTTTTTTGAGTTTTTGATAAATTAGTTGATTATGTATCTAAATCCTCTTCTTCTTATTTCTAAGTAGTTTATTTATCTTCAAAAGTAGGTTTATCTACTACAATTCCTAACATTTATCTATAAATATGAATTCTATCAGAAAATAGTTGATTTGATGTTAATTATCCATTTTCAACTATATCTTTAATTTCTTCATCAGATAAACACAATAGAACATTTTCAGGTTTTAAATCTGTATGTATGACTCCACATATTCTATGCAAATAATCTAATCCAATTAAAATTTATTTAGCCATTCTTCTAGCAATATCCATAGGACACTAATATATAGATATTTAGAATATAATACTCCTTTATATTCAAATCTTTTAATAATTTCTAATAGATTGACTCCTAATATTTCGAAAACCATGCAAAAATGATGACCATATGGTCCTTTGTATACAAAAGAATTCAATAGTTAAACAGTGTGAGTATCATCTCTATTAAAAGAAGTTCTTCCTTGCTGTTAATAAAGATCAATTAAACTATTACATCTGCATAATACTCCTTTAAAGATTGAATCCACACTGGATTCTACACATTCTATGCAACTTTTTACAGAATTTCCACCTATCATAATTGAACTTATTTACTTCATCATATGCAGCTTCTAAATAATGAGAGGCACTCTTCTAAATCTTTAAAGCAACATAAGTATCATATTTAAAATCCTTTGCTAACCATACAGTTGAAAAGTGTCCCCATCCTAATTTTTATATAACCACATATCGATTAAGTAACACTTCTCCAATATGAACTGGATGATATCCTAAATTATTTAACATTAATACTCACCTCCTATTTTATAATCTTCCATTCCTTCATCTTCACTATCATGTTCATGGTCTAAGTGATCCATCAATTCTTCTATTTATTCATTCCTATTTTAATGCTAATATTGATTATTACATAGGCTTCTCTTGTTTGAATCCTTGAGATGACTACATTTATGCCTCAAATTGTTACTATGCATTAGTTTAGCTCATTAATTTTTTAATTTAAATAAAAATTAATAAAATAGATATATATATATCATAATTATGTATTTTATATCTCTTTTATCCATTCCAAATCTTACATTTCTTTCTAAAATCATATATTTAAGTTTATATATTTTATTTTTAAATCTTTATAAAATTTGTTGATCATAATCACAGTGTTTTTAATCTAGAAAATTATTCATTATTCATAATAAAGTTCTTTATTTATAAAATTGCAATTTTTTTATAATATTAATAAAAAGGAAAAGACCAAAATACTCAATTAAAATAATAGAAAATTTTAAATACTTTTCACTTTATAAGAAAAATAAAATTTGATCTATTTAAAATATAGGATGAATTACCTTTTTACTGTCATTTATATACAATATAAAATAATAAATAACAATAGAAATATAATAAAAATATTAAAAATGAAGATATTTGTAAAATTAATAAATTGACATAATTAATTTCAAATAGTTTCTAATCTTTTTTACTACGATCTTGAACTATCTACAGTTCTAGCTGTATGTTAAATATCTGATTAGTCATGTCTAATAGAGATTTAAAAATGATTTAATTCAAGATTGTACTTTTTTAATTCAATTCTTACACATTCTTTGAGAAAGTAGAGAAACTTAATCAAAAAATGTGTATCCAAGAAATAATCATATTCTACACTATACTATTCATTCAATAATCGGTATCTGATTAGAAAATGTTCTTAAACCCACCAAACATCAACAGGAGTTAAATCTTCATTTTCGAGAGACTTAAAACATAGTAACACTTCTATAGAAGTCTCATTGATATTAAAAATAATACAATTAATATAATTTTGCCCAGAAGAGTTCCAAATTGATTAAATTTCTTTATAGATTATTGGTAAACATAGTTAAAATGATTGAGGAGTTGATCTTATTCAGGAGTTAGGATTTTGCAAGAATTAAGAAATAGCACAATTTCTTCGATTAAGGTTTTGGTTAGTCCTCTTTGCGTTATTTTGCAAGAATCCAATTTTGTATTAATAAGACAATCAATGTCTGGATGTGAATACATAGGTGTATTGTAAAAGTACAAAATCAATTTTTGCAAGCTTTTTTCTGAATGTAGAACTTTGTTATTGGTTTGAGTGCAAGTTCCCATAAATTTAATTAATTATAATAACTTATGGGCACTTGCTCAGGAAAACACCCTTAAAATGGTTCAGTTTCTAAGAACTAAAAAAACTAATAAGACGTAGACAACAAGACCCCTTAAAAATATTAAATTAATGATGGTATGAATGGAAAACTGAAAAATAGTCTAACCAGACATTGGAAATTTAATTATAACAAGTGAGAAGTTGGGAAGAATAACAAAGGATTATACACTATTAAATCCTCCTTTGGGTAGTGGTATATATAATTATTTATTGTAATTAAAGGTGCCTATGGAGAAGTACGAAAAGCAATTCATAAAAGCACTAATCTATTGAAAGCTGTTAAAATAATCCATAAATCTTAAACAAGCAAAGAAGAATAAGAAAGGTTAATGAATGAAGTTAAACTGCTGTAAAAATTAGTATCACTAATATTTAAACTTAAAGGATCATCCCAATATCATCAAAATATTTGAATTTTATTAGGATGATAGATTTTTCTACATTGTAACAGAATTATGTACTGGAGGGGAACTATTTGATAAAATTAGATCAGAGGGTAGTTTTTCGGAAAAGAAGGCTGCTGAAATAATGAGACAAATATTATCTGCAGTTAATTATTGTCATGATGAGAAGATTGTACATAGGTAGTTGAATAATTATATTTGAAAAGAGATTTGAAACCAGAAAATCTATTGTATGAATCAGAAAAAGAGAACTCTTTGCTTAAGATTATAGATTTTGGTACTTCAAAAGAATTCGTTCCAAATTAAAAATTGAATTAAAAATTAGGAACTCCTTATTACATAGCACCAGAGGTTCTGAAGAAAAAATATGATGAAAAATGCGATCTATGGTCATGTGGTGTAATTTTATATATTCTGCTATGTGGGTATTATAATATGATAAAATAATTAAGTTATCCACCATTTGATGGAAAAACAGAAGATAAAATAATGGAAAAGGTTTCAAAAGGGTGCTATTCATTCGACACATAAGAATGGGAAGAGGTATCCAAAGAGGCTAAAGACTTTATCAAAAAATTATTATAATTGGATCCAAGTAGATCAGTCTTATAGTTTTCTAGGCAAAAGATTGAATGCTCATCAGGCATTATAAGATCCTTGGATTAAAAAGTTTAGCAACCCTCTTGAATTCGATAAGCCACTTATGACTAAAGTATTGACAAATATGAAAAAATTTACTGCTTAATAAAAATTACAAGAAGCTGTTTTTAAATTTATTGTGAATCAATTAGCTACTAAAGATGAAAAAGCAGAATTATTAAAAACATTCTAATGTCTTGATACAAATCAAGATGGTAAATTAAGTAAAGAAGAATTATTGGCTGGATACTCAAAAATTATGAAACCTGTTGAAGCAGCAGAAGAAGTTAATAGAATTTTTTAATAAGTTGATAAAAATAATTCTGGATCTATTGATTATACTGGTATCTTTTATTATATATAAATATAGAATTTGTTATTGCTACTATTGATAGATAATAATTACTCTCTAAATAGAGACTCCAAATGACTTTTAGAATGTTTGATAAAGTAAAATATTCTATAATATAGGATAAAAGTGGTTTAATTAGTATTGATGAATTAAGAGAAATATTTAGTGGTATCTCTGAAGATATGTGGAAATAAGTGGTTTAAGAATTTGATTCAAATTCTGATGGACAAATCTCATTAGAAGAATTTTTCACCATGATGAAAAGAATAGAATGATGCCAAATGACTAACTAATATTATTCATTCATTTTAATAATATTAATTATTAATAATAAAATAAACAAACATTCAATCATAGATTCTTCGTTCTCTCAAAATATTATAACTTTTCTATTCTTGTTTATTTTTCCATCTCCATTAAACTCACTGTTAAATGAATTTATTCATGTCATGTCAATATTTTTACTCAAATACTTTTGTATAAAAATATTTGGCGCCATGTACTATATTTAGATTCTTAAGTATCTTTCCTCTCAATATGTTATTCTGAATAACACTTGATCTTTATTCATAATAAGCCTAATTTCAAAGAATAGACCCATTTTTAATCCTTACTAAATATATTTAACATTCTTACAAAATTACGTAATTGATCATAAGCTTCAAATATTTTTATTTAAATAAATTTTCAATTATAGAAAAAATCTATTTTTTCTAGAATTGACTATTGATCATCTTGATTTTGAAAAAATTGTAATTTTAAGAATAAAATTTCCTGTTCAAATTTATTCGGAGTAAAGATGTAGATTTAGATTACGGAAATTGATGCTATAATGTTGAAATTAAAAATCCTTTTGTAATTCTATTTAACAGGATGGTTGAATTAATTTTTGAATTCATTGACGAAATTGAGCAAATGGTCTAAAATTTTGGAGTTCACGAATATGGGTATTTTATATTGATATGCTGGGATATTTATACTAATCAAATGATATTAAAGAAGGTAATATCAGAATTATTGATCTTAAATTATCTATTGTGTTGTGAGTATATAAAATTTTTGATTAAAAGTGAAATGTTTTAAGTTACATAAAATTTATACTTAAATTCATAGATTTGTAAATCCAAAATTTATTTATTTATATAGATTGATAGATGATTTTGGATCTCATTTTAATAATTTGTAAAAACAATGCTGATTAGTGTATATAATTAATAAAAAATGAATCTTAATTTAAATTAATAAGCATTATTTTTTAAATTTTGTTTTATAAATATAATAAATTAAGATTCTTTAATCATGACTAAATCAGGAGACGCTGACTAATAACAAAAATAAACAAGGAAATACTAAAAAATCAATAAAGAAGAGAGAAGAGTAGTACTTAAGCTGCTTATTAATGACAAACTTTCCCTCTAAGAGGTATCAAATTTTATAAGATTATCAATATCTCCTATCTATATATATGATATTTTAAACATTATTTAATATAGGTAGCTAATAGACTTAAGTTAAAATATTGTACTGTTCGGACAATTTAAAAGGCCTATGAGAAAGATGGTCGTATAGGAAAGAAGGAAACAAGAAAGAAGAAGCTAAAGATTGAGAATATTCTCAAAATTTCAATCTTGAATCCATTTACCTTTTAACTATCAGAGCCTATTGTATCATCCGAAGTTAGCCAAGTATTTTTAAATATTATTATATAGATATATATAGATAAGCAACCTTCAAAAGAAGATTAAGTAACTCTAGCTAAAGAGTAGCGTTCTCTTCTTCAATCGTAATGCTAAAAACTTTTTATGATATTATCTTAATAATTCTAAAAAGCTATGGAAAACTAAAATCCGTTCTGTTAAAGTACTTTCTAAAATTTAGTGTGGGCATCTTAAATAATAATAAAACAACTTCTAGAAGTTAAATAATAATAAATCAATGTAAAATAAGAGCATGAACCTGCTTCCCCTAATTAAACTTAATATCCATTTCCAATTTAACATAATTTATACTAAACATAATATAGCTTTGTATTACCAAGAGTCAATTCTTGATTAAATAATGTTAATGCTATAAATATATAAATATACTAATTAATCTTTTTTTATTAAATTAGTTGTAACAACTTTTTAAATTTATAAATATTTACTCTCCATATACTCTCAATTTCTACTCAATCCATTCTTTTAAACCTTTTATGTCCAACCTTTCACATTCACACACCATTTACCACAAATTAAAAATTTCAATCTTTTCATTCACTGCATGATTTAATGCAATTAATTACTTTAATTAAAATAAACCCACTTTTCACTATAAAACTAATAAAAAAATACTTTTTTGAATCTTTCTCTATCATATTAACTTCCAAATGGTAAAATTCCATTACAAGTTTCGTTTGAGCTTCAATTTTAATTTAACAATCAAATGTTAAACGATCTTTCCTTACATTTTGTGATTCTTTTTCATTTATTTTTTCAAGCACTCTTAACATATCATAGTGTAGCTTTATATTTCCTTATTTACTTTAAATTTATAACTAGAACATAAGTATTTCACAATATAGTGCCTTAAAAGCGATTATTTCTATTGTTATTATATGAAGTTCAAAAATTATATAATTTCATTTTCCCATCTCTTCTTCATTTCTTTCTTTACCCATAGACTCCTATTCATTTCATTTACACCGATAAATTGTTAGATGTTAGCCTATTTAAAAATTTTCTAAATTTAAGTGTTAACAATACATTAGTTATCTATTATTTTATAAATTCAACAAAAAATTAGAACAAAAAAGTTTGGTTAGAATCTATTTAAAGTTAGTTTCTGTTCAAGAACTCATTAATAAATAATAAATTTCACATTAATACTGAACATTTATGATAATATAAAATAATTATAAAAGGAGGAATACTTTTTAATTTCTATCAACACAGAGTTGTAACTTTCTAATTAAGTGGTATTAAAATACTTTTTGGAAAATCCGCTTTTAATTCAGAGTTTTAAAAACCTTATAGATAATCATGGAGAATTTAAAAACATCTAAAATTGTTATTATCACATGTAGCTTAATTTAATCTAATAAGATGATCGTTGAATAATTAGTTTTTATATTTTTTAATGGTAGATGAGTATTAGTTTTAAAGATTTTTTGTATAAGTTATTTTAATCATATTTTTTATCATATAAACAACATTATATATAAAAACAATACAACATTTAATTAATTAGAAGCAAATTGTAGATATTAAACTATGATCAATAAAATGTCTATCCATGTATTTATTGAAGAATTTATTAATAATTATTATATAAATAAGAGTTAAATATATCTATATAGAAAACAGATAATGAGCAAGTTCTTTCTGATTATTTTTAGATAAAAATTCTAATATAATTTTTTTAATATTTTTCATAATACAATTTATAAATTTTATTTCTTATTTTTCTATCAGTCTCTAATCAAATATCTAAAAATTATCTAATAAAATATCTAAAAATTATTTGTAATAAATAATCTTTAATTTATCGTATATTAATAAAATATTTACTCTAGAGAGTATTTTGATAGAAAATAAATTAAAAATTTAGATTTTTTATAAATTATTACAACTAATAAACTTGGAAGGCATAAAAAATTTTATTCTAAAATATTAAGATACCATAGGAAGAAGTTGTATTGAATTTTAATTAAAATAAAATAGAATTGAATTGATTTGAATGGCATGATGGGAATGAAATAGAAATAAGTAAAATAATAATTATACTAATAGATTTTTTTGAAAATTACTTCGATTTTTTTTATAGTTTAAAAGTTTAATTGAGCAAAAGGAACAAGAAAAAGGTCGTTTATTTTTATATTAATTCGATTTTGACTTGTAAGAATATTTTATTATTTATAGAAAGAAATTTATAGTGTAAATACATAAAAAAGTTTTGAATAAATAATGTTCAATAATTTTGAAGATTAGGATTTAATACAAAGAAAATCATAGGGTTCAAATAAAAAAGAAAAATAAAATAATCTTCTATAGTATGTATTTACAGAATATGGAAAGTACTTATTCTATTTGATTTTGATTATCATAACAACAACATTGATTGAATTATAGCATACTATGATTATGTAGTATATAGAAACCTTAATAAATGTATGGGAATAACAAAATTAATTAAAGAAAGACATATTATTATGTAAATGATTATGCCTAAGTAGACATGTTTTAATAAGTATAAAAGTTTAATGAGTGGTTTAGTTTAATATATTGAGAATATATATAAGATTGAGATCAATTAAGTTGAAAAATATATTGTTCTGCAAATGTGTAACTTGAAATAGATACTCTTAGTTTTGTATAAATTAATGAAATAAAATCATAAAGAGAATTTGTAATACTTAAATGGATAGAATAAGACAAAATGAATTAAATAATAGGATTATTAGATTTGTATTATAAATAATTAATGAAAAATATAAAGTTTTCTCAAGATTGTACTACTGATAGCTTGGGGATATCAAGAACAACATTATCAAAGACATAGATATCTCTAAATAAAGCCCTTACATTAAGAGAATTACGTTAACCTTAAACAGATAGAACAGAAAGTAATTAATAAACTCCTCATAATCATTTACCAGAATTGAAAATGAAACAAACTAAATCTAAAAGATAGATTGGATAAAGACTTACAAAGAAATGTACAAGATCAAGTGATTTCTTTAATGTTTATAAGGCACCTGAAGCTTTATAAACAAATCCTGAAACCTTAAAAAAATAATCTCGAATTTACAAAATGACATAATATATAATTTAACAATATAATGAAGATATTAAAGCCATTAGAGATTCATAAGATTATGATGAAATTATAGCTGAATAGAAAGTTTCTAGATATTTAACTGAAGCATGGGTAAGTATGGAATAACTTATATAAAATTTAACTGGTTTATTAGCTTATAAATTTAATAGAAATGAATGTGAATAATAAATGAAAGATATATTACTTGAATGTTTCAAATAAAAAAACATTTGTATTCATTAAAGAATTTTATATATTTTTGGAAAAATAGAATAATTGTTTTATAATCCTATATAAGGAGCTATATATTTTAAAATATGTAAAAGATTATCAGATACAGATGCTCATTATAGCAATAAAATGAAAGCATATAGAGGTTTAGGTGAGTGTCTTTTAAGAATCTATCCAAAATTAAGTTAATTGTATTTCACTAAATATTTAATGGCAGCTTGGAAACTTAAATAAAAAAATGATGAATTACTTGCTTATGAATTACTTGGTAAATATTATTTTTATGTTGGATAAATTGAAAAGGCAAAATTATTTCATGATAGAATGATTAATGGAAATTGTGAAGTAAATTCTAATCTTTTTATTAGGATGAAAATTCAAGAGTTCGTTTATTAGCATTAAGTCGATTAGAACAAGGAAGTTTATCTAATAAAATTAATAAAGATCATCTTATTGTTGATATTGAATAAGTTTCATCAGATGATGAATGTTATGAAATTGTATTTCCTTAAAAATCTGAAAATATTCTATCTAAATATTATGTTGAAAAGTATTTTTAAAAGAAAATACCTGATATTAAACTTGTTAAAGATGAAGCTAATTTAAATATTAGATAAACTGATAAAAAATATAATTCTTAACTTTTAAATAATGATAATTATGAATCCTCTAAATTAGTTGTTTCTAATCCTCATTAAAGTCTTGGTTCAATTAAGGATAAGGTATTGATTAGTCATATGACACCAAATAGAAAATTGGAAATGTATTAATATATTGCATTAGCCAGTGATAAAACTGGTTTTAACAATTCCCCAAGATATGAAGGTCTTTATAATAAATATGAAGGAATTAAATTTAATAAAATTATAAACAGAACTGTTGAATAATTCCATAATATCCAATAATGGATTGTTTCTCAAGAAAAAACTCCTACTTTACCATCACCACCTATTAGAAGAAAAGGATACTTTCTAGTTTGATAACATTTGTTTGTAATATACTATTATTTAATTTTTATCATTTTTATTCTAAGCTATTCCTTGTATTTTCTATAATTTTAATTTATTTATATCCAATTTTATGATTTATTCACTTATGCAAACTTATCTTAACATTAATTTTAAACTTATCTTAACGCTATAAAGGGTAAGAAATGGAATTTTTATTGAAAATAAATTATATTTTGCAAACATCTTTATGTCAAAATTCTTTATTTCAATTTCTTTTCTATTCATAATCTAACTGAATCTATCTATACTATTTTCAGATGCCTTAATCTATCATATTTATAAAATATATTATAATTCAAAGATAATTCATTTTCTATATAGATTTATATTATATTTACTAAATTATATATTAAGATAAATTATTTTATAATAAAATAAATAAATTATATGTAATTCAACTTCTAAAAGTACTTTCTTCAGTTATTACCTAAAACTTTTGAAATGTATTTTATATATTATCCATATAATATATAGGCTTTATTTCACTATGACTGTCATTTAAATGATAACTAAAATATTTAGCAGATATTTTACATTTCATCTTTAGGAGAATTTGTAAAATCTTTAGTAATAATTTCTTAATGATGTATTTTGTTATCATTTTTTTTAGGAATGCTATCTTAATCATTTTTATAGAGTAATGTTTATAGATTTTGTATTTCAAAATGTTAATTTAAAATTGTTTTTTGTTATAATTCAATTTATTTTTTTTAAATTTAAACAATTTATTTTAATTTAGTTATTTCCTTCATGTTTTAAGCATTTAGATTATCAGTTAGAACAGAGTTTAATTATTTTTCTGTTAATTAATTAAGATTACATTAGACATTTTCAAATTTATTATCTAATTTTTATTTTTATTGATCAAGTTGTTTTAATTGAGATTGAAATGAATCCATATCATTTTATAATGATAGTTTTCTATTTCTATTATCTTTATCAATTCTACTACTTACATTAGTGTTTAATCTATCAGAAGATTGTTATTGAAACAGTTCATTCACAAATTAATTTAAACCTGAGATTTGCTTTTATAAAGATTCTTCTGTTTATTAAAACTATTTTCTTTATAAATCTATTTAATCTTTTAAGTAGTTTATTTAGTCTTATTGATTGACTTATGTTTTATTTGGTTAATTCTCTTTATCTTCTTTTTTTTTAGAATAGGATCCTTGTTTAATAATGCACAATAATTAATGATTTTCAGTCTTATAATATGAAATTAATTTATCTTTTTTAAGAATTTAATCTTTTAAATTTTGTATATCAATACTTGAATCATTATTAGAACTGGAAAGTTATTCACACATTTTTTCTATAGTTTAATTTAATTATGAAACGTCTTTTTCTAATTATGAAATCATCATCTATTGGTTAATATTCTATGTTTATAATTAAGATATATTTTTATTTAGATCCACAATGATTTAAGCTTTTAGTTGTATTTCATTTCTTAATTAGATTTCATCTGTTTTATTAGTAATGTAAATGGATGAAATATTTTAAATAGAGTCTATTATTTTAGTATTCTCAACAGTAGATAGATGATTCATAGAATTATTTTTAGAATGTTTAATAGATTCAATTTTATTTCCATTTGTTTTTAATTTTTCATTCTTCTAAAACTATTTGGGTATACTACTTGCTTTAGATACCATCATAAGATTACTTTGTACCTTTTTCATTTAAGGAGAATCTTGAGTAGGATTAGAGACAAGTGATTCTTATCTTTTGATTATTTTAGAGGGAATCATTAACGATAATTTATATTTTAAAATAAAAATAGAAAAATATATTAAGAAATAATATGATTTAATAAAAGTGTAGGAATATAATAAGATTATATATATATATAAATTGGAGAGTGGGGATATATGATTGGAAAAGAAGAGGAATAAATAATTTATATAATATAAATATTTTAAAGGATTTCTTGATATAAAATAATTTAATTATTTTTTTTAAACATTTTACGGAAATTATAGTGGGAAAATGGAGAACGAAGAAAATGAATAATAAGATCTTTCAGTAGGTGTGTTATAAATAATGCATTTGTTCACTATATATACCATTATATATTAATTTTAATTCCTATTTTATCTTTAGTTTATAACCAATTAAATAAGAAAGATATTGGATTCAGACCTAAAAAATTAACAATATCAAGAGATTTATAAGTAAATTATATAAAAAATGAATTAGAGTTAAGCCTGTGATATTTGTGCAGTTGGATTCGAAAGCAGATATTAATAATAAGAAAGAGGTAAAGATAATAAATTAATATATATAAGGAATGACTATAATATCATGTTATGGTTGTTAATTGAGTTGTCATTTATATTGTTATGGTATTTAGACTGAAATAGAGTTGAATCCTAATTCTAATAATTAAGGATATTTTGCATGTGATAAATGCAAATATAGTCAAAAATAAGATTAAATATGCATAGTTTGTAATTAAAAAGGAGGACTAAAAAAAAGAATTAATGATACAAATGAATTTGTGCATCCTCTTTGTGGATTACTATCAAAATAAATTGAATTAACTTCATTCATTGAAATGAAATTTAAGAAGCCTACTAATATTATACAGACACCTAAATAAATATGTTTATATTGCAAATCTTAAGGAGCTACTATTAAATGTTAATAATGTGAATGTAATAATTATGCACATATTTATTGTATGGTCAATTATATAGTAAGTTTTGGTGGTTATAATTTGACATATTCTGAAAATTAATAAAGATTAACAGGATGGGAAATATAATTCAATTATAAATAATTGTTTTCTCCAGGTATTCACATTTAAACAGGAAATGATAAAACTTAATTAAAAATCAAATCTCAATCTATTTTATAATAATTTATGGATATTCAGAAAGTAGATAAATAAATTAATATTGATTATCTTTATGAGTTGTATTAATAATAAGATAGAATTGAAGAAGAAAAAGAGTATATTATTTATAATTATATTAGTTAATTAATTGAATTCTTTTGTTCTTCTCATTAAAATTAATAAATATATTGTTGTTGTTAATAATAATAAGCTAATGATTCTGAAGAAATGGTTTAATGTGAAACATGTATGGAATGGTATCATGATAAATGTTTACGATAATATTAAGATGATTATGAAGAATAAAAAAATAAAGACCATTATTATTGTCCATTTTGTAATTAATGGTGTAATTATCGATTTGAACATATTCTTAAATATAAACCTGTTGCTCAGATTTAATCATTATTGCCTCCTTTCTTAAAAATGAATTTTAATACTCTTATTATATTAGGTATCTATTGTGAACGTAGTTTAGCATCTTAGATTATATCATGTAAGTATCATCTTTATATTATTAGATTCAGAATCTTAATACTCTATTATTGAATCCATCTTGGGTAATCTACCATTCTATTAACCATTATAATTCTACTTACAATAAATTAAATAAAAATCTAATGTCACGGATTTTATGAATTTCCTTTTTAAATAATCAATACCATATAAAGATAATAATTAATGGATCATTCTATCTTAATTAGATGAATCCAATCAAATTATTTAATAAAACATAATTTATAATAATGCTCTAAGGGATAAACTTAATTTAGTTATCAATTTATTTAAAGATTTTGAAGAATGTCGTTACTATAACGATTTATTAAATAAATTAAATAATTTATAATCTGCATTTTAAATTATTACAACCAAAACTAAAATTACTAAATAAATTATTTAAAATTAATACAAATCAAATGAATTCTAAGAATTTATATATTTATAATCTTAAGTTAAAGAGTATAAAAAAATTAAAAAACGATTTTTAAGTAAATTATAAGAAGCTGAAAATAAATTCTGTGATTTTGAATCAATTATGAATGAAGATGTCTAAGATTCATCTGAAGAAGAAGATGATGATGATGATATAGATGATGAATTAGAAGATTATTAAAAATTATAGAATTATTTAGGCTATTCAATTACTTAAATTTAAAATTATTCATAATTTTATAGTCTAACCTCTTAAACTAAAATTAAATTGAATTAAATTAAATTAAGTAAAGAATTTGTTGAAAAAACTATTCAAGAATTAAATGCATTATTAATTTTAGTTCCATGGGTAGATATATTAATTGAAGAACTATAAGAAGGATAAGAGATTGTTTAATAATTAGAAAATGCTAAATCAAGTGATGATACATAATTATTGTTATCTAAATTAGAAGAAGTACCATTTTATTATAAAGATTTTTCAAAAATTTATGAATTTGTATCTAAATATTAATTGTATGAAAGATACATGTAAGATTTAGAATTATAAGAAAAAGATGAAGATGATAGTGAAATTTAAGTTACTAAAGATATTTAAACTAAAATCACTTAAGATCATTTATAAATGCTTAAATAATTATCCATTGAAATTAATGCTTCTGAAAAAGATAAATTAATTTTGGAATAGGTTGAAAAATAATTAAATGAATTTCGATCTAAATTAAGAAATATGATTGATTAAAAGAATTTAAATGAATAAATGAGGAAGAAATTTTAAGCTGAATTATAAATCAATAAAATATATGATGTTCCTGAAATCTAGGAATTATAAAAAAGATTAGAGTAATTTTAAGAAGTTGAAAAAATTAGAATTGCTAAATCTTAAACTTTATAATAATTGGAATAAGCTTATGAAAAATCTAAATTACTTAATTTTGATGAAAAAATTATTAATCAATTTGAATAAGAAATTAATAAATGCTTGTAAAAAAAGAAAGAAATTAAAGTCTTATTAGAAAATGAAATATTTGAAACAGAATAATTAGATCAAGCTAAATTATTACTCTAAGATATCTCTTAAAGTAAGATAATTTATGAAGAGAAATAATTATTATAGAGTTTGAATAAAGCTTGCTAATTTATTTAATAATTATATGAATTTTATTAAAAATATAAATCTCCAGATTAAGAAATGGAAATTGAAGATGATAAAAATCCAGATTTATAATTTAAAATTAATTAAGTTTGTAATCCCTTTTAAATTTTATTTAAAGATGACAATGAAAATATAATATTAGAATTAGAAAATATTTTAAGTAAATAATCAATCATACTTGATAAACGAATAAACACTGTTTTAAATAATTATTAGCATTTTCTTTGGGAAAAATAAGCTAAATTATTATTATGTCTTTGGTAATCCAAATAAGAAATACAATTAACATTAATTGATTAAGTTATTCTTAAGACTTTCACACTAGAAGAAAATGAATAAGCAAAATTAATTTTATTTTAAGAAATGTTTACAAATTAATAAAAAATAATATTTGCATTAGGTTCTTAAATAGGAAATTACCTATTTTAAGTACCTTCTCCTTAAGATTTAGATGGATGGTTTTTTCTTTATTGTTAAATAACTCTTTCTGTTAAAGGTGGAATTTGGGATTAAGTGAAAATATATAATGTTTGGGTTACTATTGTAAAGAAATATTTTGAAATTACAACAACTCCAGAATTCACTTATGAAAGTTTAAAGTTATTATAAGATATAATAGTTATGTCACATATACCTAAATAAGCATTAATTTGTGTAAGTTTACTTTAGAAGATTGGATGTTTTAATGCATTAGTTGATAAAATTAAAGATTATAATGCTAGAAAATAGATCTTCTTAGAAAGGAAGAGATCTAAATAAGATTTATAGAAATCTAAATACTGTTTTTCAATATTTGAAGCCAGGTTATTAGATTAAGAGATTATATCAACAAATATGGCACATGATTTTATTTCAAAGGATTTCTATTAAGATTTTTAAAATATCCAGTAAATTTAAGAGGAATTTAGTAAATGTTCAAGTGAAGATATATCTGCACTTACATCTTTATATTAGAAATTAATTTAATCATTCATTCAAGATTAATAACTTATGGATGATTTAAAGATTAATATCTATCTATTAAAATTAAAAGAAGTTTTAAAAGGAAATAAAGTAGTTGAATTATTCAAAGCTAAAAAATAATACAGTAGTCTAATGTTAATGTTGCAATCTCGTAGTTAATAAGTTCCAGATTATATTATAGAATTGAACAATTTACTAAATATTGCAGATAAAGTATAAAATATTGCCAATAAGATTAAAAGCAATTAAAACTATACCTTTGAAGAATTAGAACAATCTTTAAAAGAAATTGATAAAATAAAGAATATTAATATAGAAAGATCATAAGATGTAGAAATTAGATATCATGAATGTCTCTAAATATAAAATGAAATAAGAGAAATAAGTTAATCTTAAATAAAAACTAAAGAAGTTGTTGTTTAAAACATTTTAGAAAAATTATAAAACTTGCCTTTGCCAGAAGAAAAATAATTAGTTTAAACTTGGCTTAATTAATTTGAACAATTAAAATAAAGTTATTCTACTTTAAGATAAACAATATCAAAATAAAAGGCAAATCCAAATGGTAAAGAATTGACAGATTTAATGAACAATTTTTAAAAGAAATATAAAGATCTCATAATAATTTATCCTGATGCTGATCACTTTATAAGAGAATATTCAGAGTTCAATAAGAAATTAGAATTTATTGAGAATAATCTATAAACTGAATAAGCTTTCAATGATTTTCATGATTTACTTAGTATATTTAGATGGGGTGATTAATATGAAAGAGTTAAAGTAGCTATTTGGATTAAATAAGTTAATTAATTCAAGGAAAATCCTTAATAAAAATGGGGATTTGCTTCATTTAGAAATATGTTAAATTAAGGATATGATATTATTGATTAAGCATTAATGAATAATTAAAAGTTATCAATAGAAAAAATGAAAGTTCCATTAACATATTTAGAATAAATTATGACAAAATTAATAGATTCAGTTGCAAGTGGTTCATGTATTGATTCTTGTGTTGATGGTAAAGTTGATGCTTCTTAATTATAAATTGAATTATAACATATTACTTAACATGATAAATTAGAAAGGTTAAGAGAATTACAACCTAAAAAACCATTTGATGATATTAATTCATATTTTGATAGAAGATCTAAATAATAATAAATTAGAAAGAAAAATTAATAAAGAGAAGAAAAAGATAATGTTGAATAAAATATTGAATTTGTCAGTATCAAAAAAATTAAAAAACCTTAAACTAATGAAGCAGTTACTTAATAATTAAGAGATACAAAAAAAAAAGAATTACTTTAAGCTGTTTTACGTAATCCTACATTATCAAATTTAAAAAATGCTGCCTTTTATGAAAATAAAATTAAGATTTTTGAAAATTAAGAGTTTGGAACTTTTAATACAAATAAATAAAGTATTATTTTTTATATCATATTATTTAGTGTATCTGGAGAGAATGACGACACTCATTTCAACTTTTAAAGAATTATAACAATTACCTAATTTCTCAAAAAGAATTGTTGAAAAAGGATTCAATATTGAATAAGTTAATTATGCAGTTAAAAAATATGAAACTAAAACACTCATATTAACTGAAGAAAAACTAATGTAAAGACCTCATGCAACATCTTCACAATAATAATTAGATTATAATCCTTTAGCTCCAAATAAAAATAAAATTGTTGCAATTTAACCAGTTAATTAAAAAAATGCTTAACCTGTTGCCAAATAAGTTTAATCAAGTTCAACAGGTACTAAATTAACTAAAGAAGATGTTCTAAGTTAAATTTTAAATGATTCATATCCAAAGGTTTAATCACAAACTCAATAATAATAGATATAATCTTAATCAAAATCCATTTAGTAAACAACATCATAATTTTTAAAACAATCGTAACTAACATCACAATAGATACCATAATCATAATCATAATAATACTAACAAATATTATAATAATAATTACAATAAATTAAAAAATAATAATAGTAATAATAATCTTAATAATAATAAATTTTTGATACATTTTATTAGGAATAGAATAAATCAACTTCATAATTTTAATCTTAATAATCATTATAATCATAAAATTAATAATAATAATCTTAAAAATCTTTGCTTTCTCCAAGTAGATCAGTTAGCAAAGGAGTTAATGAATCAATGTCATCAGATTTACCTGAACTAGAAATTTTGAAAATGGAAAATCCAAATAAACCTATTTTATATAATCCTGATGATGAGGAACCTGAATAAAAAGTAGTTATTTAAAAGATTGAAGTAAACTCTTTAATTTATTAATAGGTCACTCCTCTTAACTTTGGAGATAAAATCCTTAAAATAGGAAAGAGATATAGATTTAATTTAAAGGAATAATAGATTACATGTGAATTCTATACTAATGCTTTAGATAATAAATTGAAGGAATTTCCTAAAATTTCAAGTGAATTTAAACATTAAAAATATTATTAATAAGATATTGCTTTATTGTAAATGGAAAGATCTGTGAATAAAAATATTTAAATAATTTTAGCTGGATGGGTAGTTCCAGAAAAATATAATGATTTAGGTGATATTCAAAAAGTTTGTGAAATGTTAAAGAAAGAATAATAATTTATATCATTTCCTTTGGGAGATTCTTTTTGTACTGTTGTATATTTAATGCATTATGATTAATTGTAAAATTCATAATTGTTTGCAAATTTCAAATTATAAGAATTTGTTTCTGAATCACATTATTAAAGAAAAGATTCAGGTATAATTAAATTTTGGGGAAATTTGATCTCAAAATTATGTTTTGTAATTACTATTAAATAATAAGCTGCAGCACTAATGCTAAGTAGTTTTAATCCTTTATAATATGATATTGCAAGGAATTTTGCAAAAGTATTTTATTTATAATATAATTAATAGTCTAAAGAACTTTCTAAATGGGTTGAAAGTAAGATAAATGAATAAAAAGTTAATAAACAATAGCTATAATAGTAATAATAATAGCTATAATAATAACAACAACAATAATAACAACAATAATAACAACAATAATAATAATAATAATAATAATAACAACAACAATAATAATAATAATAATAATAATAATAATAATAACAACAATAATAATAATAGCAACAACAATAACAACAATAACTATAATAATAATAATAGTTATAAACAGAATTAGAGCCAGTTACTTCAGAAGAAGAGGAAAATAATGTTAATAGCGAATAAAATGGTTAAGCTAATATATTTGGTGGAATAAGTAATGATGTAATTATATTTGATTATAAAAAAGGGAAATGGATATGAATAAATGGTTGCGTTTTTACAACAAGATGAGTTAGCCATGGGTGAGTTGTTTAAAAATAATAACATAGGATGAATTGAATAAATTTATAAAAAATTAGATTATAATTAATTCGTTTTTAATATAAATGTGTGTGGGTGACATATTAGGAATGTGTCTAGGTCCAATAGCAACATGTGGAAAATATCTATGTGGTGCTATAGGATTAGGATTACTTTTTACAGCAGGAGCAGTTGGAATAGATTTGGTGGCAGATTGGCCAATAGTTTTAATAATTCTTGCATCTATATTGGCATTGATTTGGTGTATAATCGCATATTGTGGTGGATTACAAGAAAGAGATGATGAACCATAGTATTTAGCAAAATAATTTGAATTAATATGTGAGACCTAAGAAATAGTCAGATAATATGAAGTATTCAATCAAATAATAATAGGTAAGGCATAACTATGCAAGTGAATTGGCTGATGGATGCATTCAAATATCAAATACTATTATTGGAATGTTCTTTACCTAATTGATATATGCACTTATATTATTGATTTTATTCTTATTAGCTACTGTATTAATAATCATATATTTTATCTAGATATGGTTCATTCCTGTTGGAACTAAAATTGGATTTATAGTAGGCTTGTTCTTTGGATTTGCATCTATTACAATTATTGCATGGACAGCATATACTTTTGCAGGTCGATCAATATGCAAAGTTATAACAACCGCTATTTAAAATAAATGGGAGCTTTATAATTTTATGTATACTGTAGGTTTTGGTGTTGTTCTTATGTGTATAGCATCTATTTATTTTATTTTCTTAATATTATTCTTTCTATTTAGAAGTTTATAAGGATTAAATAATGAGAATAAGCCATAAGATAAATTGTAACTTATGGGTATTTGTTGTTGCGGTTATGCTATGGGAATTATTGTTTGTGCATTTATTTACAGAGAATCAACAAGTATTTTAGGTAGAAGTATATTTAATGCTATTGATGGTTTGATCAAATGTGACAGGAATCTAAGTTTTAATAATCCTTATATTTCATCACCAACTAAATTATTATATGTGATATCAAATATTATAAGTACATAAATAGTAAATTTATTGGATACTGCTATTTGTATAGCAGTATTAACAGTTGGAGGATTTGTAATATTTTCAAATTCAGGAGAAGTAGCTAAAGAAAATATTACATGGAAATCATTACTTGCTCCAACATTATATTTTTGTGTAAATGTTTTTTGTTCTTTGATTGTATAAACAATGAAGAGTATGATTTGGGATAATGAAGTAGTAAGATTCACAAAAATGAACATTAGATAATAAGTGTTGATAACTCATTTGATGACATTAATAATTTTCTTTTTTATGCCAATGATAACAATACTAAAGTAGTTTTCATTAAAAGGAATTGAAGCACCTGAGAAATTAGCAAAAGAAGAGATTACAATAAAGAAGATAACATATTGTTGTATATTGGGTTAATTAAGCAATTTAGTATTATTATCAATAGGAGAATGGATGACATCACATGGATGTTAACCAGTTAGAAATTTGGTATGATATATAAATTAATTAAGAGGCATTATCATCATCAGAGAGAATATTAACATAATCATTTAATTATGCTACATTTATAAGTGCATGTGGATAAATAATAATAGTATTAACATTAGGAATAATAGCAACAGCATCACATGCATTAGCTGGATATGCAGGAATATTAGCAGCTGCTGCTGGATTTTTAATAAATGTTTTAATAATTACACCATTGTATTATATAGGATCACTTTCTTAAGATGGTGCTAAGTTATGTGTTGCATCACATGTAACTTAAGTAGTATCTGAAAGATTTACTAAAATGACATGGGCAGCTAGAAATTATATGATATACTTAAAAATAACAAATGCTGGTTCAGCTATTTTATTAGCATTTACATTTCTTGGTGGTGCATTATATTTATTTAAAGTTGATAATAATCCATTAATTGATTTTAATGGTATTTTTGGAATATTATTTGGAATTGGATTAGCATTTCTTATTAAAGGTATGACAGTTGGTTCAGTCATATCAATATCTAGAATATTTGATTTGAATATTTATGAAAGTGGTATAGCTGCAGAAATAGCAAAGAGAAATACTTTAACATTAAATAGATATTTTGATAGTAAACATTTATTATCTATTTTTTGGGTATTCATTATTACTATAACTGATACAATACTATTATTTATTTTTGCATATTTCTTTGGAAAAAGAGGATCTCCAGGATTTTTATTAGGACATACAATAATTATATTATTTTTAATGTGTTATTCAATTATAAATGGAACTGCAATGAAATAGAGTCGATATTACAATGAAGGTATTATATTATTAATATAAATTTAAAGTTGATGATAAATTATCAAAGAGAGGAAAAGTATATTAATCATGTGTTTAAGGGGATATGTTAGCTACAGTTATTGAAGAGAGTACAGCCATCCCTCTTGTTGTTTACTTATTATATAACACAATCCTTGTTACATGTGCCTATCCATTCTTTGGAGCAGAAGGGTATTATTTATTAAATTATATTAATTTAGAGATTTATTTGTCGAAAAAGAAGCAGAAACTAAGTTTTTCTGAAAAATAATAAATACAAAAATCATCATCATCATTATTATTAATTAATTCTTTTTAATAATCCTAACATTTCTATCTAAAATTTCTTAGCTAGATCACTGATTTCCTCTTTATTTCTTTCTATTAATTTAGTTAATTTGGACATTTAAATTATTTACTTTAATTGATCTACTATTTTATCATATTTAGAAACTCTTTCCTCCCTAATTAAATCTACTTTAGACATCTAATTAAAACCTTTTATATTAATAATATCCTAATTTATTCATAATATTAATTTAATACATCTCTATAAATTGTAAAAGCTTTGTATGAAAATAGAATTCCTCCTTTTATATGAGATAAATATTTTGATTCTATTAGAATTTTACATTTTTCAAGCATTTGTGGCATTTATTCAATTGGTATTGATTTGAATTTACAACTTTAAGAACACATACTCAATGCATCAAATAATATTGATGGTTCCATTAATTGATTAATAGCATTTATTGCAGATTTTATATTATTATTACTCCACCAATAAATTATTGGTTTCATATAATTTATTCTTTATTTTAATATTTACATCACTCGATTATGATCTTTCTCTATCTCATTAATCAAATCGATCTAAATAAATTTAATTTTATTCTCATCATCAATAACAAAACTTGATAAATTAACTTCATCTTAACTTGTAACCAAATCTAAACTACTTTAATTCTCTTAATTAATAAATTAATTATCTTTAATCTCTTCCTCTTACATAACACTTTCATATGCAATCATTTAAGGAATTTGTGTTGTTGGTACAAATTTATTCATATTCACATTATTATTCATATTGTTCTAATTATTCAAATTATTTCCATTAACAACATTATTCCAATTACCACCATTACCATTACTAATACCATTATTACTATATTATTGAAATCCTTTTTCTTCTATTAAATTATAATTAGTAGGTTTATAATTTCCATTAACTTAATTAGTTTAAAATATCTTTTAAGAATTTTTAGGTTTTAAAATGTTTACACTATTTCTCTATAGAAATTGATCATTCATTTCACAACTTTATATTCTTTCACTATTGATTCTTTGTTTATGTCTATCTAAACTATACCTACTATCAAAATTCATATTTTATAATTTGGATCCAAACACACTTAAACCAGTTTAATTTTGAGTAGACAATATAAATAATTCTCTATCCTCAAATATATAAGTATCTAAAATGCTTTTACATTAGGTTTCAACATTATCTAAAAATAAAGCATCTCTTTCTAAATCCCAACATTTTAATGAAAAATTTTAAGTTGATACTAATGATTTACCTTCATTACAAAATCTAATTGAATATATTGGTTATTTATCAGGTTTAGTTTATGATATCTTATTTGGTTTATAAATGATATAATTACTTAATTAAATTTATCTAAATCCCAATATCTAATACATCCATCATCAGATGCTGTAGCTATTGCTTTATCAAGTGGATTGAATTATAAACATGTAATTGAAGAATCTGATTCACTAAATGTAGCCATTAATCTCTATTGATTAATATCCCATATCTTAACACTTCCATCATTTGAACCTGATGCTAATAATTTACCATCTGGAGATACTACTAAAGCACTTATAGATAATGTATGTGCTCTTAATGTAAATCCTACTGTTTTAGACCTTGAATCCCACAACTTTACTTAGCTATCCATTGCACCACTTAATACTATGTTATCTTTGTTTGGAAATATAGCCAAAGATGTTATCGATGATAAATGACCCTTTATATTTTATTAAACTAAGTATTTAAGTATCAACCATTACTCTTTTAAGTTGAAATATCAACAAATGTTATTATCCCTTTGCTTGAACCATTTATTATCTCATTCTCAGAACTACTAAACATTATACTAGATATTTCATTCTGACTCTAAACAAAATAATGTTAAAATGGATTCAATAATTTAACATCTAACCAATTTTTTGAATTCTCTATCTTATTTATGTAAATCTAATTCATGTCATCTACATATGTAAAGAATCTTGTTCCTGTCTCTGAAAAACGACCCAATTTTATTTTTTACTGATTCTCTATTTCCCCTACTTTTTATTTAATATTGTTACCTAATTTCAAGTTTCTATTCATTAAATTTAAATTATATTATTGTTAAGAACTCTAATTATTTTATCGTTAATTTATGAATAACGATTTATGTCTCTTAATACGATAAGTTAGAATGCCTATGAGAATACAGATCCCTAAACAAAAAAAATAACCTGTTTTTCACAAAAAAACTTACACCATACCAGACAAAATTTATAATGACAAAGAAATTATCCAATTGTATTCATTCACAAACTTATTAGATATTTCAAAAAATTCATTAATGTAGATATTGATGATTCAATTGCCTTAGAAATCATCTCAACTCCTGACTTTATTAATTGTAATATCAATATCAAATTAGGGACGTTAAATACAAATTAATGATGATTTAATCAATAGAAGAGATTAATTAGATTATCATTAATAAAATATATGATGATTACTAATTATTATCATTAGAACATAAAATGTAATAAATAAGATAAAAAATGAACGATACATTGTAAAATTTTACAAGTAATTGTTAATCATTACAATAAAAATTCTAAGAGTAATGAATGATTTTTGCATAATTACACTAATTGTATTAAATCATTTATGAATGCCTAACTAAATGTTTTATAAACAATTTAAATACTATTATTAAAAATGCATAAGAAGATTATCATAATAAAACAGTCTCATTTCATCAATTTATCAACTGTGTTTCTAAGTTCTAAATGTTATTTGATAATTGCATCCTTAAACATCTCTTATTATGATTTTATTTTCTTCAACTTTTATTTTTCACTAATAATCTTTTATAACCATTTTTCTTATTATTACTTAAATTTATATCTAAAAATATATGTACTTCATGCTCATAATTAATTCTAGTTGTTCTTTACATTCTAAGTTTCTGTTTTTCATCAGTTTCTCTCATCCTATCAGCTGATAACAAAGTTAAAGTCTTGTTTTCATTAAATAAATCTACTTGTTTTTCTAAAAATAATTTAAAAAATGATGATACATTCTTCTTAAGATCTTATTTCTTTTATTTTAGAATTAAATTCATTTATAATCCTCTTTTTATTCTTCTACACAATTGATTATTATTTTTCAAACTTTAATTTTAACTCATTCAACTTTTTTGCTCTAATTTACATTTAGGATTCTACCATTTTGCTACTCTAATTAGCAATCTATATAAAATATTATAATCTTTATTGATCTATTTCTTGTTATTTCTCAACAACTCTTTTATTAGCGATTTCAATCTTCTTTTACTACTAAATCTTTTTTATTTTCATAATATTCTTTATTTTTTGTAAACAATTCTCAGCCATTTATGCTTTTTCTAAATTTCTTTCTATGATTTCTTCTACTTCTTATTCTTCTAATACTTTTGCTCTTTATCTTTTGGCATCACGTTCTTGTTATCTTTTTTTATTTCTTTCCATATTTTCTTATAATTCTAATTAATATGATTAGTTTAATTGATTTCTAATAAGTTCAGATTATTAAAATTTGTGTTTTATTTATTCTTAAAATTATAATCTATGTTCTTTATCCTCTTTCTCTAATTTTTCTATTTTTTCTAAAGTTTTTTTATGTCTTTATTTTTAATGTTACTTTCTTTCGTTAAGTTCTCTAAAAATATCGATATAAATTTTACTATCGATGTAATTCTTAAACTTTCTCTACTTTTCTAGCTATATTTGGAATAGTATTAGAGTAATATTATTATGACTTTTAATTCTATTCTTCATCTAATTACTGATGTTTTTTAATAGTATTGAGATATTATGTATTTCTTTTAGTTATTTACTCTAATTTATCATCAAATGATTATTATAAAAAATCCAAGCTTCGAGTATTTAATGATTTAGATAGAATTAACGAATTTCTTTAATCAGTTATAAAAACAGAAGATGCCTATTAAGTTATTGTAGTATTAGTGTTAAAATTATTATTTGCTGTATTATTTTTATTTATTTTTTTCAGTCTATTTCTTAAAGAAACTATTTGCAACAACTTTTTGGATTTTCCTTATAAATACTCCATATAATCAACTAAACATTTTATTGGGTGTTCAAAATCACTTTAAAAATCTAAAAATGACATTACATGACACCAATCTTCTTGTACTTCCATTAATTATAATGCCTCTTTAGTGCGTGGAGAATTCAAGTTCAATTCTAATTAAAATATTGATAATTTGTTAGGATCTCTTAAAATTTTATCTTTCCTATCGTAAGGTAGAAAATTCAACCCAATTGCTTCGTCAATAAGATAATTAGAAAAAACTGGATATTTACCTTTTGAAGCAAAAAATTCTTTAATTATCTATGCTCGTTAGCGTGCTGTTAATTTCAATTTTGGTGATCCTTGTTCTGAAACAAGTCTAGATTCTTATTAACTATCCATTATTTTTTTCAATTTGAGATTAATAAATTATTAGAAATTTTTTAAAAAACCTATTGACTTTTTCAAGAATTTAACAAAAAAGTTCATTCAATAGACTATTACTTAATATTAAAAGTATCTTCAATTATTGAGTAATCTTAATTTATGAATTTAAAAACAAATATATAAAGTATTTGACATTATGATGGAATTATTAAATAAATAATATTTGAACATTATCTTATCTTAATCAAAGAAAATGATGATATCTGATTTAGATTATAAAAAAAATTATTTATACTAAGATAGCTGATTAAATGTATAACATAAAAAATAATGATTTGAAAAGAATGATGGTAAATGTAGAGTTTCAAATTTCTGTAAAATAAGTTAGTATAATTACTATTTTAGTTAAACATAATTAGAAAAGTCAATTCATTTTACATTTCTTGAATAATTATAAAGAGTAGGTTTTTAAATAAGAAAATTTATTCATGTTAAACTTAAATTGAAAAATCAAGTTATTGAGAAAATTCTGATTATAATTTTTATTATTATTGTTCATTAATCTGATCTAAGATGGATTAAAATTTGAAACTACATGAAGTATGTATTTTAACAAAAATTCACTTTTATACTAAAGCCAAATTTTAAATTTATGTCAACATTGCTTTATTCATTAAAGAATTAATTTTTAAATATCACATTAATTAATAGATTAGTATTTCATATAAAGTTATATTTTATTTATATAATATATTGTTGTGAAAAATAAGTAATTAAGGTATGAGTATTTA